TTTTAATTTAATAAACATTCACTTACATTCAATCCTCAGATCTACCATTACTGTCTGCCTCCCCCCCTCCCTCCCTCTGTCCCTCCCCCCTCGATGACTGCATACACACTGTAAGAGAGCGCTCTATTAGAGCTTAGACTCTCGTTAACCCTGTATTGTTTTCAACGAGCTCAGGACCCCCCACTGTGATAATCTGTCTTAAAGCTCCTGCCGAGGACTCCCCACCTCGCACAGTCAGTTCCACTGCCGCTCAGCACAACACAGTACACAGTACACAGTACAGAGTACAGTGTACAGTAGAGAGACACAGTATTTCCCTCAAGGTCCCGTCTGTCTGTCTGTCTTTCTGTCGCAGTGACTGACTTCACGATTCCATTTTTCTGTTCTTCTAAATCCAATGACTTCACGGTTCCATTTTTCTGTTCTTCTAAATCCAAAGGGATCACTTTAATGGGGCTGTCCCACTGTTGCCATGGTTACTCAGTGTTAGCCATTCAAGTGCTGGCATTTTGCATATAAGTGCATGTGGTCGCAGCAGAGATTTTTTTTTTTTTTTTAAACAATAAAATGCAAAATGCCTCTGGAACACCCAGTGTTTATGACCAGGTGGACTTGGATACGATTTCCAGATTTAATATATTTTAAACTATAGTTATTAACAAAGGCAAAATCATAGAAAATATGCATAATTTGATATTAATATCCCGTCTTGCTAGTTGGAAGTTTTTTTTTCAACTTTGTTTTATTTTCAAACAAAAGAAAAAAATCTGAGTGATTGATATTGTCATTGATTTGTTTGACATCAGTCCGTGGTAAAAAAGATTGTTTTAATTTTCCGAGATGTTGCATTGATTGATGTTGAGTTGATCATCAGGCTCATACTTTGTGAATCAAGGTGACTCTATCATCAGCATATACAGAAACGGAAGCTTTAAGGTGGATTTTTATATGACTGAGTTTAAACATTTTAAAGCATGATCACATTCAACATCACTGCAAATATCTAGTCTTTATTTAATTGTGACCTTTGAAAATATGATTTACCTATTTTGCTATCGTTGTTATTTTCTTTCTTTTCTGGTGAAATGCAAAATCTGTGACAAAATACTGAGGGTTTAGTTTGAAATGTTGTGACAGATCAATAGTATTATTCAATATGTTGTACATTAAAATAACGCTGCTCAAGTAAACAGGTTTGTGCGTAGTTTAAAGAGGAGCCTCATCTCTGTTGACAATCGAATTTCTTTCGAAGGAATCAAAAATAGAAACACATTTTCAGTTAAAGATGCCGAACTCCTAATGTCACAGCAAACGTCGCGCTGTTTCCCAGGCGTAAATTATCTGTGGTTTTCTTTACGTAGTTTGTTCATTGCTACCAATAATTGAAATGTTTGTGTTGATGTGTATTTAAAATCCGAGCCCCGTCTGAAGGTTATTTAACGAGACGTCTGAAACTTCTTTTTTCTGTTCTTTGATCTTGATCCAGACGTGCCCTCAGGGTGGATCAGACCTTGTCAGAAGTGGATGAAAACGACGGCCTTCTGCAGAAAAGTTTGCGGGATGGACTACAAGAAGACTACGACAACTCCAACTCCTTCAAACCCCCGATGGCTCGTTCACTCCGCATCAAGGAAGAGCTGCTCAGCCAGAAGCATCGCCTGCTGAGCCAGCCTGCTGCGCTCTCATTGGCTAACCTAGAGTCGGCCGGCTTGCTCAACCACGGGCAGTCCCACTCCTTGCTCGGTCAGAAGGGCTCGTCTTCATTCTGGGGGAGCAAGGCCCACCTTGAAAGCCTGATGAAGCTAAAACAGGCCAGTGGAGCTCTGAGTGGAGCCCTCAGTGACCTCAAAGATCTGCCCACATTCCTGCAGAACCATCATCACAGCCACCACGGAGCCTTCGCTCTCAAGAGTTCCCTCCACCACCACCATAATCAGGTCTCCAAGCCCCAGCACCACCACCAAAATGAAGGTAAGCGAGATCACGGTCACTCCCCTCCCGTGGACCTTAAGATACCCCAGGTTCGGGGCATGGATTTGTCCTGGGACTCACACGCCTCTGAGCTGTATGGCTACACCATGGGGGTGGGAGGCATCGGCCACGGAGAGAACACCCTGAGCCGGAAGCTGCGCGCCATCCTGCCCAAGCAGAACCGCCGCGGGGGAAGCCTTGGAAGCCTGCTGGACGGAGCGTCCGACTACTGGAGCTCTGAGTTGGAACACACCATTTCAGGACCGGCGTACTCCACCTCCGACGTGGAAGGGGACCCAAACTCCAAGCAGCCGAGGAAGAAGAGGGGTCGTTATCGCCAGTACAACAGTGAGATCCTGGAGGAGGCCATAGCGGTGGTGATGAACGGGAAGATGAGCGTGTCCAAGGCGCAGAACATGTACGGCATCCCGCACAGCACCCTGGAGTACAAGGTCAAGGAGCGCATGGGTACCCTGAAAAACCCTCCAAAGAAGAAGCTCAAGCTCATGATGAAAATGGAAGGTGCAGGCCAGGATTTTCCCCTGGAGTCGGAGAACACACCAACCTCTACCCCAAGAGATGAGGTCCCTCCACCTGGAGCTGCGGAGCTCAATGACAATATCAAAGAAGAGATCGATGACAATTTCAAACCAATCGACTAAACAAAAACCAACACATGTAAACCTCAGTCAAAGACCTGGATAATTTAAAAGTGGATGGGGCTTTATTTGTGCCAATTTACTTTGCAGTATGTGGGTGAGCACAAACACAGGGATAACATGAGGAGGATCCTTAAAACAAACTGGGAAGGAAAAAACAAAAAACCAACCAATCAAGTGGTATTTAACAAGCGTCACAAGAAGGACGCCGTACGAGCATTTGTTTGGCTTTAACATCCACGGGCTGAACAAATGCTAAAGCTAAAGACTTTAGATAAATGACAATTCATGAAATTTCCTTAAGCATGCTGATAATCCCTAGCCCAAAAAAAAAAAACAAAACCCAATCGTCCTTGTTCCTGAACTCGATACACTGAACCAGTGCTGCTTATAAACGCAGTTTTGGGCTTTGGACTATTCCAATTTGGGAGAAAGTGAGGGGGAAGTTTGAAAATTAACTCACAAATTGGTCCCTTTACCGCTCCCCTCTCTCATGGATTTGCTAGATGAAATTTGGTAAGTGAACTGTCTACACAACGTTTGGAGACGACTGCAAGGTTTAATCGTACCACTGATACTCCTCACAAGGGTTCTGACTCAAAACCCACTCTCTTATTGCCAGGTAGCCATGATGCTTTAACTGCAAACCTTCTCTTTTCTCCTTAAGATATTCTGCTAGTCTCTGTGCGAATGAAAGCAACATTTACCCGTCCTTTTTGAACTAAAGAAAAGACACACAAAGAGTCATTCAGGGATGCGTGTGTGTGAGTTTAGTGGACACTACTGATTACAACTGACTTCTTTTTCCTCTATCCTTTCGTTTTGATTTGATTTTTTTTGTTTTTTGTTTTTTTTTGCTTTCTTTTGCACTACACTTTGGGCGCTTACAGACCAGGTTACCTCGGCATTGTTGCCCTCGCATCATGCACTTATTATGGTCTGTCTCTCAAGCCCAGACGCAACCTCGCAATGGGTCAGAGGGTGCACTTCGCCTGCGTTCGCTGATCCATGATCAGATTCTTGAGGCACTTGGAACCTCCGCTCTACCAATGCACCAGTAGATGGATAATCTGTTGATGGATCAGCTGGGACTCCAAGGCGTAATGCTACCTCATGGACCTTCTTTCAGTGTCTCACTGCTGATCCTGGAATGCTGGAGATGCCTTCAGGTTCCCACCTCCTCCAAATGGTACCCCGAAGTGAGCTAATGGCGTCACAGCGATCGTTAGCTGTCGAAGGCCTTTTAGGATCAGAATGTGAAACTCTGCTGCTATTCAGTGAACTATCTAGCTCTTTTAGACCTAGAGTCTTAGCCAACAACAAAAAAACCACAACAATACATTTCCGTTATTTATTTTTCCTTTGTTTCTAATCAAACTAAGCGGACGCAGCTTAGCTGACGAGTTCAAAACAAAAACAAGACATGTCTCCCTTGAACTTCAAAGACAGCTTTAGAGGCAGTTTATTACAACCTTGTACATTTATAGTGGGGTGTTCATTTCAGGTGGCGGGTGGGCAATATGCAGTGGGGAGGTGTAGATGATAGAAGAGCGGGAAAGGCAGATTTTAATATATTGTAATTTATTATGACTGATTATATAAGACCAATCCTTGAATATGGGTGATTTTTTTTCTTCTTTTTCTCCTCATTTTATACTCAGGGTAACTGAGACAGATGATGTTGGGTTTCAAATCTTTCCTCTTGGACCTATAGTAGACGCACGGGCGAACGACATACGCCTGTTACTGATGCATTGTGGGCAGGGAGGGCCATGGAAGCACTAAAGGTGAACAGACCTGCTAATGAATCAGAAAAAGACAAGTAAAAATGCTGACGATGGGTTTATCGATCCAGCTTCTGGTGTTGAACATCCGAAAGAGCACTTTTAAAAATGTAGTAAAAAACACGAGAGAAAAAAAAATCTGCTTGAGGTTATGCATGTAGTGTAGCTCTTCTTCTCTGAGGGATATGGAGTAGTAAAAGCTTTAGTGCGTGGAGACTTTTAGAACGCTGCAGCCTGGATCCAAAACTTCTCTACTGTCCTTCTCAAATTACCTCCACGAGTCCAATCCGACTGAAAAGAAAACTCGCAACACTTCTCCCTCGTGGTCGAAGCAGCAGGGAAAGAAAAAGCCTGTAATGTTTTAACTCGGTGGAGGAGAACTATCCCTCAGACAAATCCTCCTGAAGGAGACGACAGTTGTGTTTGTACGTTGTGTTTTTGTCGTTTGTGTTTCTTGCTTCTTCTTCTTCTTCTTCTTCTTCTTCTATGGAAATTGTCGCTCTCGGCTCCTAACACTGCCTGGTGCTCACCCAGTGTGTGAGATTTTTAACGTGAGAATTGTAGCTCAGATGAAAGGTTGATACGATTCACTCCGTTTGAAATGTATTGTGTTTAATTTATTTGATCTGATTATTTTCTTTGGATTCTTTTTTCTGTCTTTTCTTTTTTTTTTTTTTTTTTTTTTTTTTTGTCTTTTTTTTTGGCACCACTTGAACGGCTGATTTTGGGGTGAGGCCAATGTAATTCTTTTTTTTTTTTTCTTTTTTTTTGTTGAGAGGATCTCAACTCAATTAATCCTGAGCAGAGATGCTTGAAAATCACAGAGAAAGTACTACCTGTTAAATGCAATCTTTTTCCCTCTAAAATCTTAAGATGATCGGCGACTCGAGCTGAAAGGCCTCTGTACATCAACCACAAAGTAAAAAACAAACAAACAAACAAACAATGTCAACGTGGAGACAAACCTTTGATATTTACGCCAAATTAAAATAGGATCCAGTCACCGTCTCAGTAGAAAAGTAACTTTAGAAAAAAGTTAATTAATATCTAAATTAAAGTCATGTGGTCCACATGGTGTCATTAAATAAATAACTAAAAATTTAAAATTACCTTAATGTCAGGTATAATCACAAGCTGGATTACAATCGTATTATTAGATTAGATTAATTGGCACAAAATGTACAATCTATTTATGACTACTGATTTCCTTGGTTTACTTTAAAGTCAATCTGCTTTACTTTTTTTAATTTTTTAAAACTTTAAAAAAAATTTAAATTTCTTTCGCCCCAAAAAAGGTGAAATTCCAGACACAACAGAGGAAATCACACATTTGTTGTAAACATAAAAACGTGGTTGTTGTTCAAACGTCCTTCAGCTTGGTGGCTTTTTTTCAACTTATTGGCACAATTAACGAGCCAATATAGAGAAAGTTCTAGAACAAGACCTCAGTATAAACCCGGGGTCTTCATGCATGAAATGCGTCCAACACTAACGATGCCGAGCATCGCAAGTGTCTAAAACAAAAAGAAAAAAAAAGAAGAAAAAAACGTGTCTTGTGCGCTTTGAGTTCGACCCAGCGAAAGACAATGCACTGATCTGGTAGTTAAAACAAGGATCAAAGCCCCTAGTGTTGATGCTGTGTAATGCACTTATCGAATCATACGCTTTTATTTTTTTTTAAATGGCGTTATCTTGGTTCCAGCAGCAGCTAGCTGTGGAGCCTCGTCGAGAAATAATGAAAGTAAAAAAAAAAAAAGAAGAAAAACAAACAACCTCCTCCTGCCAGTTGACCTCGTCGCTCCTGTAACGCATGTTAAAGCATGGATTTGTGCTTGTGAAAAGGAACCTTTATGTGTTTAGAAGTAGTCAAATTGGCACTTACTGCGTAGGTTTGCATGGATGAAACTCCAATAGCTCTTAGAATGAGTTCCCCTGAGAGGGGCCGGGTCCTCGAAGGCCAAAACAATCTTTGTTCATAATTGAAAAGAAGACTTTTAAATTGTGGAGTGCAACATTTTTCTCTTTCTCCGTCTGTGCACTTCACCCAGCAGACGGGCTTTTTTTTTAAGATTCAAGATTTTTTTTTCTTTTTTTTTATATATCTCATTTTCAGCCTGAACATTTCTACTGAGGTGCATGCCATTTCTGTTTTTATTTATTATTCTCCTGGGTTTTAATTAACTGTTTCTAATCATGTGGTTAACGCTGCCCCCTGTCCAGAGGGAAAAAAAAGAAATCCTTCTCCTTTAGATGAGTCTCACTGCGGTAGAAAAACCAAAAGTACAAAAACACATTCATTAGCCCAGCCTCATGCAGTGAATGTAGTGAAATATTAAACTCTCAGAACAACAGCAGTCGAACGGCACCGCAGCCGACTGTCTGAACTTCATAGACTGATTTTTTTTTTTACTTTTTAAAAACCACTCACACTGGAATCTCAGTTGTGAACAGTAGCTCTCTGTACTGTAACCGTCTCAGGATCAAGTCAAAAACAGGATGGGCAGCAATATTTGTCAGTCGGAAAAGGAGCAAATTTAACTACCTGTAATCGATGTAACTTTTTAGATGCATATATACACATATATATATGTATATGTATATATATGTGTGTGTGTGTGTTAAGTATAAAGTGTCAGAATGGTCAGCAGAAGCCAAACGTTATACCTCATTCTCAGAATAAAGACTTGCGTGCCTCACACCTTCATGGATCCCTGACCTGGGAGCTTGGCAAAGGGACAGACGATACTCTGGGAAATATAGGATCCTCTGCTGTTCCTTTTCTTTTATGATCTGTTTGTTTTTTTTGTTTTTTTGTCTCCGTGTCACCTCCTTCTTTGGAACAAGGGGAGGAAAGAGACGCTTCAAGTGTCTGACTGACCAATATTTGCCACCCGACAACAAAACCTATATGGAATTCTATAATCGGCCACAGATTGACAAAAAAAAAGAGAGGAGGAAACGGAGATCCGTGTATAAAGATTGACCTTTTCTTATGGCAGGCTGCGGTTGGCATGTGGAGGGAGGGAGGGGAGGCCAATCTCTCTGGGTTTTTTTTTTTCGTTTTTTTGTGTGTGTCAGTAGATTTTGGGATGCAGTTGTCTGGTTTCACCCTGGAGGCTGTGGGTTCCACCCTGGTCTTTGAACAAACACAGTGGTTTTTGTTCAATTTTTTTTTTTTTTTTTGTATATTGTGTGTGTTTTAGGAGTAACTCAACTCCCGGGTGAAACTTGACAGGGGAATCTTTTTAATTTTCTTTTCTTTTCTTTTTTATTTTATATATTTCTCACGCCTAAAGAAATCAGAGACCGGGAGAGGAGACTGGGGGACAGGTGGACGAGTTAACCCTCCTTTATCTTCTGTCTTTCTGTTCAACACTCCATCTGAAAAACACTTGCAGAAAAATGTAACTTTGTATGATGGAGAAGTCTATACCGTAATCTATATAGTAGACCTATAAATGTATGTATTTTTTTTTTTTTGTTTTTTTTTTGCTGGGTTTTTCTGCATCTTCAGGTAAAACAATGAGTTTCTCTTCTGCTTTTAGGATTGTTTTTTTTTTTTTCTAAGATTTTTCTAAATGTCTAATTGCAACTACTGTAACCTCAGTCAGTAGACGGAGCATGATGTGCCATGTTGTGTCAGGATGGTGCATGATGTGATGTTCTACCAGAAAAGAAGGAATGAACCATGATGTAAATGATTGCCATGTACCTCCGTGTGAAGAGGCTTCTCCTCTGCTTCTCTCTCTGTCACGCTGCATATCTGGTTGTCAAATGTACCTCAGGTCTGACCACTTCAAAGCAGCTGATTGTATTTTAGAAATACACACAAATGCACACACACACGCAAACACACACGCATGCCGACACGGACAGGGACACACAAAGAAGATTCAGGATTTTTTCGTACTGCTCCTTTCTTAGATTTTGACCTACGAGGCAGTTTTTTGGAGAAAAAAAAAAGAAAAAGATAGTCTTTATTTTTCTTTCTTTCTTCTTGTCGTTCGTACTCTCGTCGCTTTGAGGACATTGTCTCGCTCTTCGCTCGTTCTTTTCTTCTTGCCTTTTTTCTTTTATACACACACACACGGGAAAAAACAATGAAAAAGAAATTCCTTTTAACCGCCAGAAGTCAGGTAACCGTGAATACAACGCTGTATTCTCTTTAGCACACAGATCACACACACACTCACACACTCACACACGCGTAGGTATCGCAAAAAACCGCACCTACAGCAAACGCTCGCTCCTCATCAGGTATAGCCACACTCTGTGTGGGCAGGTTATGTGTATAATTATGAAACGGGGAGTCTGCCATGTCTGTTTTAGCAGCAGGTGGGTGTGTTTTGTCCAGAACCTCAGCTCAGCTGCCTCGTTTTCATCCAGCACACTGGGACACTGTTGGCACTGCCTCTGTGAGAAAAACAAAAAACAAAAAAAAAAAACAACCTTTTTTCCTTTTGTTTCTCGCTTTCAATCAAACCCTTTCGATCTTTTTTTTCCTGAAAAGAAACAGGATGGAAAAAAAAGAAAATCGTCTATTTTTTTTTTTTTTTTTTAACGATGAAACACGCGACCTTTCTGTGATATTTACTTCATGATTTAAAAAAAAAAAGAATCAGGTTTCGTGGGTGGTTTAGTTTCTTTTCAGAAATTGATGTAGTTTTGTGTTGAGTGTCATTTTTTTCCCTGACGTGTCTTGCAGAGCTGTCACTTCCCTCCAACGAGTTTGATTTTACTTTAAATGCAGTTTTTCTTTTTTTCCTCTGGCAGATGTGAGTTTAACCCTGCAATCTTTTTTTTTTTTTTTTTTTACATTTGTCAAAACGGCGCTGACAGATCTGTTAGAATTCGCATCTCTGCTGCCGCGATGCCAAGTGTTGTTAATGTCATAGAATTTGTGAAGATGTGACAGGCGGTCGTTTAGCGGCGGTGCAGCTTTAAAGGCAGATCTTTAAGGTCAGACACACCTCTGAGGAAAGACAACGTGGCACCGGGCCTTGGTTAGCGAGCATTTAATATATATATAAAGTTCAAATGAATCTGTCGTGGGTTAATGATTTGATGAAATCAGGCAGTTTGGTTCAGTTCATGTTTTATTCAAACATGATCAGTTGTTTGTTGAAGAAGTGTTGCCTTTTGAAAAGTCATCTAAATTTGAAATGGCGTATTTGTATTTGAGTGTCTGTATAATCCAAGCACTTGAGCGAAATCAGAGCGAGTTGCTCCTGTGTGCAGACAGACGCCCTCGCTGGTCTCGCCTCCGACAAGCCCGCGGCGGTGACGTTTGTTCGTCTCACCCCTCCGCCTCGTTGCAAAGCCTCCCTGCTGATGGCAGCCAGACAGACAGAGTCAGTGCTGAACACACACACACACACACACGCAGTGGTCTGAGGAGGTGGATGGAAGTGCAAGGATGAAATCTAAGTGAGGTAGAGAAGAATAGAGGCCGTTGAAGGTCGCCGTCCCCTCCCCCACGCCACGGTTAAACCACAGGCTTTCACAGTAATGTTGCTGAAATTCTCACATTAACTGTGGCATCTGTTAAGGCATCACAGCGGTTTTTTGTTTTTTTTCTAACTCCACCTATAGACGGAGGAGATGAGTTAAAAAAAAAAAAAGTTACACCTGAAGCGTAGGTTGGACAAAGAAATTCAGCAAAAAAAAGTTGAATCGAAAAAAATCTTGCTTTAAAAAAAACACGGCAGTATAGCTGAGTTTCATGAGCTGCATTTGTTGCCATGACAACCCTGCGGCATTGTTCACATGTGGAGGTGTGTCTGGTCCTTCGCGGCCGCCCACGGGGACCGCCGGCTCCTTGATCCTTGGTCTCACCAAACCAAGGACCAAGGACCAATTCACCGATTCTAATTCTCACGTCTTCTCAGATCTGTCAGCTCCTCGGTGTGAAACAAGAGGTTCAACGTTTCAGACAACGAAGTGTCTCAAAGTTTTAGCTTCTGTTCAATTCTAGGACTTTTAGGACGTCTCACCTGAGAGGTCTCAGGGAAACATTAGGTCTTTGGACAAAGTGACAACTCTACAAAAACACGATCAAGGAAGGTTAAACACTCCTGAAGATTTGGAATCTGTGGCGCTGAAAGTTTTGAAGCCCTTTTTAAGAGCAGGTTTTTTTAGTTGTGAAGTTAATGTACGTGTCAAGAGTCACCGATGACCGTAACCTTTCACCCTTGACGACATCTGTCTCCATGTCCTGTCTCTGCAGGAGTTTCTGTTAATGCTACCTCACTCTTGTCTTTTGGTCGTTGGTATGTTTTGTTTTGTTTTGTTTTGACTTTTTTTTTTGGACGTTGTTGAGTTTGTAAACCAAACGCAGTGACATGTTCATTCTCAGATTCTTCACGTCTGGCGGTCTTGATTGGACCAGTTTTGACCGGTCAGCTAAACTGTCAGCTGACCAGTGTAATCACTGTGTCAGGTTTTTGATTGTGCTCTCAGTCCAGGCTCCTCCTCAGCAGCACCGTGATGCCAGGGCATGGCTGTTAGTAGCCAGGTAGACCCCCCCCCTCCCAGTCCCCCCCGATG